GGGTATTCATAAGACATAAATTCCTCATGGTTTGACTCCAAGGAATTGCCAAGATTTGAATTCAAAACGTTTGTGTTTATAAAACGTCTGGGTTTAGAGATCTTCCTTATTATCACTTCAATTACTGTTTAGGGTTACACTTGATTGTTTTTTAATGGTAGATTGAAATTTAGTTTACAGTAAATGAAACACTATAAATTTGTAATGGCTGCTTTAAATATGCTAGAACTCCCTCGGAGATAAGACCAATTAAAGCTGCCAATACGCTCTTAGGGGGGTATCAATCGGGTTATATCGTGTCTTACTCGGGTGTTGTACAAAATGTACTTCTAAGTAATAGTTCCGTTATTAAGCCATTCTAATTTGACCAATTCAATTAATTTTGTCAGATGTTTTAACATTAATTTGATCTAGTTATTACTCATGTCGAATTCGGGTCGATATGATAAATGGTGAATTAAAAATCCAAAATTGGCAAAAAAAATCCCTCTACTAAACAAACAACTAATAGGCTTTCAATACACAAATTCACTCAGGTCTAGACATTTATAAATACCAAAAAAAAAAAAATGACACAAAAATATTCATACCAATTCTTTTAAAATAATCCAAAATATATCGTCAATTATATCCTCTATATTATTAGAATTATTACTAAAGTGTACAGAAAAACTCCCTAAAACAATATTACATATACAAATACCTAAAAAAAAAATACTGATTGAACCTAATAAAATAAATTATATAAGAGCATTAGCATAAACACACAAAATTAGTCAAATGCACAATTAGCATAAACACACATAACATTGTGTGTGTGTGTGTGTGTGTGTGTGTGTACAAATAATTGAAGGATTTATGATATTTACATGACAAAGATATACCATGAACAGGTCCAGCATCCTTGTCGAACCAATCAATGATAATCCCAGATCTGGATCACACCATTGTGAAGACTTGCAAGGATCAAAGACAATCATTGAGACATTTCATCAAACACGTGTTATGCTAACAATTATACTAAACTAAAGCAATTGGATATAATGATCTAGCCCCTTCACTTGGATACTCTTTGATCAAAATTTAACCTTTGAAAACAAAAATCGAAAACAAACAGAATTAAGAAACCAAAATGGCAAAAAAATAGAGTTGGAAATTAAAAAATTCGAAGAACTTACATAGCCACTGAGCCTCTCTATCTTACACTCTCCTTGTCTTTTCGTGTGTGCAAAGCTAAAGGCACTGGATATACAACAAAAAACCTCAAACTAAACTTGATAGAAATCCATTTCAAGTTTCAACCAATCACTAAAAATCAGAAAGAAATTAATGTCAAAATTTGTATATTTATGATTGTCTATGAGTGTGAACGTGTAGTTAGTGTACTGCAAATCTGTGTTTGCGCCAATTTTGTGTAAGGTGGCGGTGAGGTGTTGTGTCAATTGTTGGTAGATTAGGGTTATGAGGGGTTTGGGGCTATGGGAAGGAAGAAGAGGGGGAAAGGGGCTGTGGATATGATCGGGGGGTAAAGGCGAGTATGAGATAAAGAAGTAAGGAGATGAACAGATAGTGAGCGAGAAAGAATTAGTTGGGGGTGTCACTGGCGTGGCAGTTGTTGGCAGTCATCTGTGGCAGAGGCGATCGCTAACTTTGCTGTCGTCGTTGTCGCTAGTGGTGGTCAATGGTTTTGTAGTAGTTGGTGGGGCTTCTGATTCGCAAGGGGCTAGGTTGGGCTAGGCGGCATAGGTGCTGCGATGTGGGAGGGAGAGATTGGGATCCATAAGAGATATAGGGGGAGATGTGGTGCTGCAATTGTTTTGGATTTTTTTATTGTTTTTTTTTTTTGGCTAATCATACAAAGAAAATGGGAAGGAAAGGGGTTTCTGGGTTGGTTTTTTTAAGGGGCTTTTTGGGTTAGGTAGAGAGAAATAGAGAGAGAAAGAAGACCAAATACAGGGAGAGAAAAAATCAAATACATAGAAAGAATATCAAACCTATTATTGCTAGTGACGATGGCTGGTAGCGACAATAAGAGAAAGACGTTTGGTGGGGGGTTTGGGTTGAGGGTGACAATGGATGTCAAATTATAAGAGAGAGATAAAGAATATTGTATTTGGAGTGGGACCGTAGAGAAGGTCAGATATAGTGAGAGATCGGTAGAGAAGGCCAGATAGAGTAAGAGATCGAAAGATACGTATTTTAAGGTAACGCTTGGTAATATGAAGTTTGTGTGTTTTTTTTGTTAAAAAAAGTAATAATAACGCGTTTGGGATGTGTGTTCCGTTTTTTGTAATGCCCCATTTTGAAAACAAGGCCAAAATATGAAAACATAAAAAATGATATTTTTGAAAACACCAAAAAAAAAAAAAAAAAACACGAGCGCCTCAGCCCCACCTTTTAATGAGGTCTTACATTCGAATCTTGTTAACACCAATATTTGGGACTTTTGGTTGGAAGTGTAAAAGGGTCTCTTTCTACCTACTACTGCTCACCCAACTTCTCTTTCTATCTCTCTCTCTCATCTTCTCTCTCATTTTCTCTCTCTGCGAAAAATCAAAGAGTTGTCTCTCATCTCTCTCTCGTCTTCTCTGCGAAAACTCATCTTCTTTGGTGGTGGTTGAATGGTTGATGGTGGTGGGTTTTCCATGGTTTGGTGTTGGATGGCTAGGTGGTGGGGTTTGCTTGGTTTTGGTGTTAGGTTTCGGTGGTGGTGGATTTTGGGGATGGGGGTAGGGGTGGGTTTCAGTGGTGGTGGTGGGTTTCGGGGTTGCAGGGGGTTGTGGCCTTGTGGGGGTGGGTTTCGATGGTGGTGGGGTTGGTTGGTAGTGTATTTTGGGGGTAGGCGATGGGTTTCACAGAAGGCTTTGTGGGGGTGGATTTCGATAGTGGTGGTTGGGTTGGGTGCTAGTAAATTTCAGGAGACAGGTTGTGGGGTGAGTTTCAGTGGTGGTGGTGGGTTTTGGTGGTGGTAGGTGGTTGGGTGTTTGGTGGTGAATTTTTGATATATTACCAAACATATTTTTATTTTTGTTTTTATAATTTTTTAAATATAAATGACTAGCAAATATGTTTTATATTTTTATTTTTTATTAAAAACAAAACAAAAATTAGTTTTATTTATTTTTATTAAAAAAAATGTAAAAACGAAAATGTTACCAAATGCACCCAAGTCTTGAGAGTCCTAAAATGATACAATTGTTGAAAGGAGGAGTTTTGATTGTTGATCAATAATCTTAAAGTAATTTTAATCGCAAAAAACTACCGATAAAGAAATTTAATTACTTTATTATTATATAGATATTTAGTTTATTATGTATACATTCCCAAAAAAAAATAATAATCATGCATGTATTTTGATACTATTCGAGTCCATGGGCCATGATATATGACATAGGCCCAAGGATACAATAGGGTTGGGTTGTGGTTGAGCCGAAAAATGACCTACCCTTTTATTTTTGGAAAAAATTAGAATGAGGTATACCAAATTAAACTTAATTATAAAAAAGTATATAGAAAATTTTTTTGGGTAATTAAGTCCTTAATTTTGATACTTATTTGTATTTAAGTACATTATTTGAATTTTACAAATTTTTTGTGATATTTTTGCCCTTCATTAATCCATGTGTATTTAATGCACCACTTTCTTTGAAAAGTGGTGCATTAAACATCTCCTAATTTTGCTTGTTGTTAAATCTCTTATCTAAATTTTGAATTATCTTTTAATACACCTTGATTTATGCATTTTTTTTTAGAAAGTGGTTTTATTTTTAAATTAATTTAATATCCGAATACTGTAATAGTGTAACAATAACAGTGTAACACTAAAAATATAACTGTGTAACAATAATAATGTAACAATAAAAGTGTAACAGTGTAACCGTATAACAATAACAGTGTAACAAGTTATTTACACAAAATATTGTACTATTACATTTTGTCAAACATATATTTTCATATAATTTCATTCAAAATAGTTTATTTATGTTTTGAATTTGTTATCACATACACAAAACTACGGAACACTGTTTTTGTTATAGTATATTTATTACACTAACTTTGTTACAATGTATTTGTTACACTGTTATTGTTACACTATTACATTACTCGGATATTTAATTAATTTGAAAATAAAACAATTTTTCAAAAAAAAAATGCTTGAATCAATGTGCATTAAATATAATTTGAAAAAAAAATCACTTTCCAAAAAAAAAAAAATACGCATCAATTAAGGTGCATTAAAGATAATATATATTAGTGTATATATACTTATTTATACGTCTATGTATATATATATATATATATACTTGTTTATATGTATATATGTGTGTGTGTGTATATATATATATACATATTTACATGTATTAACAAATACGCATAAATCAAGATGCATTAAATACGTATTTATATATATTAACAAACACACATGAAATGTGCATTAAAGATAAGAGATTTTGAATTAAATGGGCATTTATATCTTTGTAACTCACATTTTATTATATATATTTTTTGTCAAATAAATTTAATTAGATGTACCGACTTTTAAAGAACTCTTATTTTTTATTTCGAGTTGAGACCGTTCTCGTGGCAGGCCTTTTCTGGAGTTATGGTTGCTGTCCCTGTCGTGGCTACGATGCACACATAGACGAGACACCAATGGGAACGAGGTTTAATATTTCATATGATCAAGTTCAAAGTTGAAGGCCCGCATGTGAATTCAAATCACTGTTCCTATTGTAATTCTAGAATACAACTAAGATATATATATATATATATATATATATATATAAAACCCAAAGGGTTCAAACAAGCAAATTGAAACATATAGTTGATATGTCTGAAGTGTACGTGATCCGCAGCACCTCTTCCTCACTCAAACACAACAGCGATTGGACTTCTAACTACATGTTTGGTAGAAGTCCATTTCAGGAATCCTTGTGCAGAGATGGCATTCATGCCTCCGGTTGATCTTCTAAATGTGACCTGATATGTCATCTGTTGGTTCACATCTGAGAAGTCCAACCTAGTAGGCTTAACACTAACATCGACTCAGCTGGGAGTAGCCTTTCATCGATGGTGGGCTTGTTGTCGAGGTTTAGTTGATCAGCAGTAGTCATGATAGCGGACTTGATGGCAGCCGGAGACCAACTGGGGTGTGCAGCTTTGAACAAAGCTGCGATGCCACTGAGATAAGGACATGACATTGAGGTACCCGAGATTATGTTAAATGTTGACTTTGTATCGGTGTTGTTTTCCACAGAGAAAGGTCACGCAGCAAGAATGTTCACACCGGGACCAATAATGTCAGGTTTCAGAATTCTTGGGCTTGCGTAATTAAGGCCCCTGGAAGAGAATGCGGAAACCATAGGAGCATGATTATCCCCAGTTATGGTTCCTCTGAACAAGATTGTAGCCATCGGCCTTGATGTTGAATTTATATAGGCCTTGATCTTTAATCCATCAGCATAACTCACATCTGTTGCAGGAAGGACATGAACATCAGCGAAGGTAGTGTAGGCCCTATAGTATTGGTTCATCAAAATCATGGCAGCTCCACCAGCATCCTTTATTGTTTGTCCTTTGCCTACTCTTGTTACCGGACCACCAGCATCCCACAACACTACCTTCCCTTTGACGTCTGTGTTGTTCAATGATCCCGTGGCACAAAATGGAGCATAATCTTCGGTTCCGTTTGACTGCGGGTAAACAAGAGGCAACAACGTCAAAGGGAAATCTTTAAGCTGGAAGACTGACTCGCCATCGAATTCTTCAGCGTTTCCTAGCAATGCAGTGGCCCTTATGCTTCGATCAATAGTGCTTGCACCAACGGTGAGAAGCCATGGGGCCTCATTCGATAATGAGAAATTGAACGGACTAGAGTTACCAGCTGAGCAGCTCACAAAAATGCCTTTTTGCATTGCAGTAAATGCTCCAACAATTACACTGTCTCCGGAGAAAGGATTGGAAAATCCACCAAGGGAGATGGAAAGCACATCAACACCATCCTCAATAGCAGCGTCCATTCCAGCCAATATGTCACTATCAGAACAGTCAAACGAACATACTTTGTAAATGGCCAAGTGAGCAAGCGGTGCTACGCCAACTGCGGTGCCATTGACATTGCCAAACACATTGGCCCTTTTCACAAAGTTTTCGGCGGCAGTGCTTGCTGTGTGAGTGCCATGGCCATCTTCGTCCACCTGTATCTCATCTGAATCACTGATAAAACTCCTTACACCGATGAGCTTGTTATTACAAGCATAAGTGCTATTGAGTTCACATTTCCCCTTCCATTTAGCAGGTGGAGGTGGCATTCCTTCGTCGCCAAACGAAGGGTGGTTCGGCAAAACTCCAGAGTCTATAACTCTAATAATCACACCTTTACCATAATTTGGGCCACTCCAAAAGCCTAGATATTGTTGCAATCCCAAGAATTTAAGACTGTGAGTTGTATGTAAAGACAATACTTTCTGAGGCCTGGCAGTCACAAAGCCATCCTTCTTTTCCATGGCTTTCACATCCGCAGCAGACAATTTGGCAGCAAAACCAGTAACCACATTGCGGTATGCATATATTATGCGCGGTGCTTCATTCTAATTTGCGGTGCTTACCGGCAAAAATGATTGATACCAGCTTTCTAAATCATCTGATTGAGTGAAAACTCGGTCATCGGGCTTCTTCAAATGGACAATGTAAGTTTCTACATTGCTCTGCTCCTCCACGATATTGCTCCCCGATGCTACCAACGAATTGAAACTCAAAATGGAAAAGAGAGTGAGAATGAACATGAAAGCCAAATTTGGGAACAGTAAGCCAGACCTCTTGTTCCCCATTAAGATTGAAGAACTAGAGAATGATAATGTATGTGAGTTGCTAGACCAACCACCACAGAATATGAAACTAAGGGTTTGTTTTGTAGTTTGCTTTTGGGAGACTGGTATTTATAGAGTGTTTTGTCATCTGTGTAATGCATGGGCCTCTAAAATTGTTGGAAAATTTTGTGATTGAATGACCATCTAGAAGAAAATAACATGTTTATTACGTGCTAATTCATCTATTGTGATCTTGACTCTTCAACTACGTTATGCTTACTACAATGTATTTTGGGATATGGACTTGCAAAAGACTTGGCAGTGGACTTGCTTTCACTGGAGTTTGGCAGCAATTTGTGGTGTTTGATTGGAGAACTGTGAAGGGTAAATCAACCCAAATTTATCTCTTCCATAGAAAAGTTTTTAACATTTTCAATCCTTAATGGAATGGCCATCCAAGATTTCAAATAATATTTTGGGTTAAATTTTGTGGATTTTTTTATTCTTATTAAATGTATTTCGATTAGATGTCTGAAAGTATAGAATTTTCAGGCTTAATTGCAAAATGATGTTTTTAATCAAGTGACTGATATTGTGGTTCTCTATCCAAAAATGGTGTGTTGTGGGAGGCTATTAGCTTCTCCCCCTTGTCTAAAGTCCAATTGATCGAATTTTCGCATTCCCATGAAACAAAGTACTCCAAGGATTTTAATTCAATGAAAGAAATTACGTTTTTTGTAAGATTGATTTGCCAACCCAAATACTTTTTGTATTGACAAATTAATCTTTGCATCAACAACTTTTGTGCAGTAAAAAATGATTGCGCAAAATCGGCAAGCTTGGTGCAGTGAAAAACTCTTGCATCGGCATTTTCCTGACGCAAAAAGTATTTGCATTGGGCACAAACGGATGCAAATTTGCCCACACACACACAAGAAAAAAAAAACTAGGAATCTGAAATTTACTATTTTTTTTTCTCTGGTCCTCCAGCTGAAGCATACAAGTCCATCAGATTGGGATGCATTTGGAAGTAACTGAGGTCTAAAAGAATTTGTTATAAATATCTCTCTCTCTCTCTCCCTATACATATATATGTGTGTGTGTGTGTGAAGTGATTAATCCATTGTTGTGCATACTATAGACAGTAAAGAAAATAACTTATTAGTGACTCATGTAGTTAGATTCATAATCATACATGAAAAAATTTGTCGAGTTAAATGAAAAAAAAATTGTTTTTTGAGTTTACATTCTATTAGAAATTTAGGTCCTCCCGAACATATATGTCTCTCATACTGTTACTCAACCAAACTGCAGTCCATTGGCCCCAATCAATCAACATATCCATGGATTTTAACTATCGGCTCAATTAACACTTTCAATATCGATATGAACCCTACAAATATCGTGTTGTAATAAAACTCATATTCATCCGGTGTACAAATTTCTTGTCTGTAGCGGGTTTGGAAAATTATAACCCAAAATTATCTTAAATTTATAGAATATTTGGTATCATATACACCAAATGAGTTAAAGTTAAGTGAAGAAGTAACATTTACCCAAGACGGAGATATCTTTGACCCGTTTGATTGTTCAGATTTAGAGTCCCTCTATTACCTCTTCCCTTCAATTTTCATCAATACAGTGATAAATGAGTGACACATGTAAGATTTTGAATTTCAATGGATAAAATGTTTTCTTATTCATTTTTGTTGTTGATGGAGTGTTAACCATTATTAAAAAATTTTCTCACAAGAAAAAAATCTTACCCATTAAAATTCAAAATTTTACACATTTAACTTATCTAGCACTGTATTTAGAAGAATTAAAGAAAATGAGTAATGGAGGGAATCTGATTGTTCCATCAAAATTTTTCTATTCTCCACCGACCCAGTGATTTGGACAGTTGGAAATTGTTGTAATAGCATTAATTAAAAGACCCAAGTTTTGAATATAATATTATTCCACAGGCAACGGTTTCTGTAACACCCCGCATTTTTTTTATATATGTATATACATTTATAGTAAATAATTGTGGTAAAAAAATGTGGATATATGTAGTGATGTGTGTTTGAATTTAGTAAATTGGAAAAGTAGAGATTTAAAATGTTAGTGAAAATAATAGTTGAAATTTGATTTTAATAAGTGAAAATATGAAATTTTAGGTCCTAGAACTTGTATTAAATAGTTTTGGTGTAGAAATATGTGTTTGAGAGGTTTGGGATAAATTTGGTTGGCTTAGGAATGGATTGAAAATGGAAAAAGGGACGAAAATAGACTGTGAACAGTGCACGTGAACAGTGTACTGCTGCAACTTCAAACTCGATTTAGATCTTGATGCAGTCAATATCTCTTAAAACTCAAAACATGAAAGTTTTAGAGCTCTTTCGTATCATTCCATAACATCTTGAATCATCTCAATCGGAGCTTGGATGAGAGAGTTATGCTCAGATAACGAAACGATGTCGAAATAGTCCAATTAGCTTCGTTTTGTATTTAATGTCTTCATTTGCATCCTAAATCAAAATTAAAGAATAATGAGTACTTTTAGGCTTCAAATAAGTATAAAAAGCTTTAAAAAAACACCATTATCACTTTTTATTTGCAAATATCGCAAAACTTCATTAATAGCCGATTCGGATGGATAAAATAGAAATTTTAGTGTTTCGGGTGTACGTTGACTTGAGTTTTGAGATAAATCATAAATATAAATATTTTTAGGTTAAAATAACATTAAAAATGAATCCGGAACGTCGACAAACTTTAGAATAGTCATATGGATAAAATTGGAGATTTTTAGTGGTAAAATCGTAAATTTTGAGAAACTCAAAACAACCTGTGAACAGTATTTTTCGGAGCTGCTATGTTTTAAACTCATTTTCATCTCATTTGCTCTCATTTCCTTCACTTCCCTCACACCCCCACACCTCTTGAAACCCTAGAGGGCATTAGAGAAGAAGAAAGGAAGAGAAAAACAAGAGATTCAAAGGTGATTCAAGATCAAATATTCTTGTTCTTCACTCCAAAGCTAAGGATTCAAGGTAGAGGTTTTCTCTCATTCACTTACATTGATGCTAGGGTATTTATATATGTATGTTTTGGCTATCAATGGTATATACATGCTATGGAATCATCCTCTCTTAAGTTTTTTGCAAGGATTACATGTTTTGAATAAAGTAGAGTTTAATACCCATGAAATCTCCTTTCTAGTTTTAAAACCCTAATTTTTGGAGAGTGATTTATTTTCTTCCTAAATGCTTTCTTTATTATGAATTTCAAAACCTTAGTGCTTTGTGTTGGGTAGAAAAATGATGTTATTGTGATCTCATGTATTTTCTTAGTTGGTTGTGAAATTGTTATATGATATATTTTGAGAATTTTGGATAGATGCTTGTAAATTGAGATAAATGTTGAAATTGAATTTTTGGTTGAGTTGTTTGTGATGCACATGAGTGAGAGGTTTCTTGTAAGGATACTCACCCCTTCCCAAGAGGTTCTCGGTAAGGATGCTTGGAAAATAATATAATGATTGGTGAGAGGTTCCATGTAAGGATGCTTATCCATTTTCAAGAGATTCCCGGTAAGGATGTTTGAGAATCAAAGGTGACCTAAATGGGGGTGGAGGTTACCACAAAGTATGTCACCTACCGAAAGAATTATTGAAAATTGGTTATGACAATTAATGGTTATTATTTGTATGTGGTGCTCGTTTATTCATTTAAGTAATGTTTTTAAATAAACTTAAAATTCTTTTTAAATTTCACTGCTTTATTTCAAATTATGTATTTATGTTATGTTAAAATTGAGACCGACAATTTTAAATGCTTTTCTAAACTTTGTATGGGTTTGAAAAAATTTTTCTACAAATTTTTGTGCTCACCCCCTATCGCCAACATTTTTCAGATTACCCGCTTGAGGAGGAGGAGGAGGACGTAAGGATCGAGGAGCTCGCTATTTGGGAGACTCCACTGGACGGGAGTGTGAATCCCGAGGTGGACGCATAGAGCGACCTCCTTTCCTTTTGTACTAGATTAGGACATTCTTTTGAAACATTGTGTAGTCTAGCTTCTTGTGTTTATTCCGCTGCGCTTCTTTAATTAATTTTTGAGATGTAATAGACATGACTTGGGCTTATTCTTTTGGATAATTTTATAAATATTCGTGGATGACAAATGAACTCTTGTTTCTTAAAGGATTATATTAGTGCTCTCATGATATAAATAATTTTAGAATATAATACTGTCCAAAATGTGTTTTGGGACGTTACAGTTTCATATGCCCTTTTTTCTTGCCTTTCTGCGGTGCAAAATTTGCAAAGACTTGGATTTTTAGATTGATGACATTTTTGGATGAATCAATTCAGAAATCCAAGTCTTCGCAAGTCTTGCACCAGGAAAAATTTTGACGGTGGTGAGGGGTCCCCCCTTTTTTCCCAGTTAGTATGTTAATCAATACTATTTTAATCAAGTTTATTAACTTAATGATCACAATAGACATAATAAATTTAAATCTTATTAATTCTTTGAGGACATAATACGTGGAATTTATTTTTCGTGAATGGTCTTGGCGTGAATGGTCTGATTAGTCGAATTGCGCGTAAGCTGATACAATCACTCTTGACCGTTGAACTAAAAAAAATGATCACAACTATTAAATTGATAACAAATTTTAATTAATACTGAGTCCAATTGTTAATTCAATAACAATGATTAATTAAATCAATAATTTAAGTTAACAAATTAGCACAAGAAACACGGCTCCCTTTCAAGTAATGGGTCTATTTTGTTGAACTAACAATGCACGATGTGCATTGCACGTTAATAATTTTTGTATATAAAATTTAATAAAAAGTTTTAGTTATATGTGTATCTAAATTAAATATCATCTCTAGTTTATAAAAATTATGTTTTTATTGTTCGTATTATACTATAGAATTTAAAAAATGTTGTCTGTTTTCAACGATTCATTGTTCTAACTATAAGAAAAAAGGATAACAATAATTCATTTTGAAATTCATTTGATTAATTTTTAATTTATAATTCATTAAATAAAATAAAAAAAAAATTCATTTTGAACTTCATTTGATTAGGTCTCAATTTATAATTCATTTCTAATCAAAAAAAAAT